ACCAATGACTCCAGAACCTTGTTCTCTGATCTCCACATAGCCCCCATGGCACGTGTATGCATGTGCATACATGGTAAATTTGGAAGAAAACAAAATACTACTGCCCTTGCCTTCATGGAATGTCCCTTCTAGAATTTTGTTCCAAGAAAAGGGGGCTTATGAAGTTTATTCCTTCATTCAAAAAGCACCAATTATCCCTTGTGCATACTTTATAGGTATAAAAATTAAATTTAGGAAATGTCTGCCCTCAGAAAACTTTAGTGTGTTAAAAAGAATAGGACAGATTATACCTCTGTCCCTGGAGCTGGGTGTGAAAATGGAGGGCAGGTAGATGCTAGGTAGGCACGAAATCAAATATCTGTCATGTTCAGCCAGACCTGTGAATCCATATAATCCCTCTTCCTGATTAACCCGATTAAAATGGATGCGTTTTTGCAATATATAGACTCTTGACTAATCTAGAAGGATGTGTTTCACTGGTAGAAAAAAAGAGAACAAGCTAGTTAGCTAAGGGGACCAGTACAGACATTAGGCAGGGGTGAGCAGCAACCACGTGGAGGAACTGTAAGAAAAGGCAGGCAGCACACATTTGCCAGGTCATGGACTCTCAAACATAGGCTATGAAATTTGCAAGTTTAGTTACACTGATTCAGTCACTTTCAGCTCTTCGGGAAGCTGAAGAGAAAGTATTTTTCTCCTGTGATTCAGAAGATGCACCTTTTGAAGGAGGGTTGCTCTCAGATATCCCAGTGAAAGCAGCAGGGATTGCTCTCAGATATCCCAGTGAAAGCAGCAGCCAGGTAAATCCTTGCCTTAAAATGATATTCTCCTTAAGATAGATTCTGTCTACATGAAGGGACGCTCCTGGCAGCTGCCATTAGCAACAAGGCCAGTCTTGATCATCAGCATCAGAGATCTAGAGTTCATGCTTCTCCCACTCACCCATCAGGACACTGACAGGTACAGGTCAATCACAGGCAGAACAGCTTAGTTGAATGTGGGAAAGGACTCAACCAATTTACCTAAGACACTCTGGAAACTTACTAAAATCTGTCCTGTTTTTTAAAAATTCATTTTTAATATCTGAAACTGTTTCATTCAAAAGGTGGCATTTCTGTTTTTATAGGAGAACCTCTTTAAAAAGTAATGTTTTTATAGAAAAGTTGTAAAACATTGGTTAAAACAGTTTAGTGCCTTTTTCTGAAGGAATTATCAGAACCAGACAATAGTCGTTCTGACACACTGGAACTCTGATGCTTTTGTAGATGCTAAAAACAAGAATTTGGACATGTGTTGACACTCACTTAAATGGAACACTGATGTGAAGAAGGCTCTCCTCCCAAATAAAACCTAAACCTTATCACTTACCTTTTTCTAGCACCTACACTATTACTCACGCGAGCCTTAACATGCTATTGCACACTAGGACTCCCTAAGGAGTTTATTGTCCTTGTTTCTTTATCAGTGTAGTATCATATAGCTCTAGTGAAGGATCTGTACAATTGACTTGAGAAACATTGGGGTATAGTTGTAAGAAGGGGGAGGAGGGGAGGGAGAAAGGAGGGTGAAGGGGGTAAAGAGAGCAGTTCTCTACCCAGGTAAATACAGTTCAGATTATAAGTGTGATCTTAAGAATGTAACATGCATACATTATGAAGATACACTGAACAGACTTCGCAATGAATGGGAGTTTTTTTGTTGTTCTGCTTTGTTTATTGGTCTTTTTTACACAGGGTCTCTCTGTAACCACTATGGAACTCACTATGTAGACCAGGCTGGCCTCGATTTCACAGAGATCTGCCTGCCTCGGCCTCCTGAGTACTGGGATTTGAGTACAAAATTACACGGTTGGAACCCAGGCTCAGAAGTTAAGGGTACTTGCTGCTCTTGCAAAGGACCACAGTTCTTTCTGTTCCCAGTATCCACACCAGGCAGCTCACTACTGCCTAGAACTCCAGTTCTAAGGGATCTGACACCCTCTTCTGCATCCTGTGTGTACCAACACACAAGTGGTGTACAAACAGACAAGTAGGCACACACACATACACAGTAAAAAAAAAAAAAAAATCCCCTGGGTATGGTGGTACATGCCTTTAATCCCAGAACTCAGAAGTCAGGGGCAGGCAGACCTCTGTAAGATCAATGCCAGCCTTGTCCACAGAATGAATTCCAGACCAGCTAGGGCTACAGAGACCCTGTCTAAAAAAAAAAAAAAAAAAAAAAAAAGCTCAAAACAAAACAATCATCTAAAAGGAATACAGAATTACAGATTAAATGGGCAAGACTTGAATGTAGTCCTATTTTGCATTGAGAATTCCTTTGATAAAAATGAAAGGATCCAGCTCTTCCCGAGCTTTCCGGCAGCTAACTTACTCCATTTTGAGGTGCTATTTTCTATTAGGCATTGCTAAGTTTGAAGAAAGTCCAATTCTTTCCAGCTTTCATTTCCTTATTTCTTCTAGTCTAAAACTCACAGTGGGATTCTTTTAACCATCAGTTTTGATAAAAGCTCTGCCTAAGACAGCCATTGTATTCTATTGGCTAACTTCCTTGTAGGGATCTGTGCTTGTTATATATTTATTATCTTTAGACAACGTAAGTTTGTGTGTGTACTGCATTGCTCAGAAGGCCCTCAGCTGCAAGACTGCAAGCTCTACTATTTATTAGCTGTATGATTGTGGAAAATCTAGTTCACCTCTTTTGGACTGTTCTTCAGCAACAAAATCAAAGTCCAATTACCCTCTTATGAGGTGTTTCAAGAATCAAGTTTCATATATATGTGTGTTATCAAGTGCCATAAAGGACAGAGAGACCTATGGATCTTGTTCACTACATATTTCCTAAGTGCTTTGATGCAGGTAGTAGCAGGCACTGAATAAACCCTCAATAACCTCAATACTCAGAAACAGCCTGCAGCACAATGTCATGTACCTAAATGTAATTAAAATTGTTATTGTTGAGTTGGAGAGAACAGCTCAGCAGCTAAAAGCACTGGCTGTTCTTGCAGAGGACCTGACAACATGGCTAACAACTCCAGTTCCGATGCCCTCTTCTGGCCTCCTCCAGAACTGTATGCATGGGTGCACATATATGTACACATAACACTCAGAAAATAAATTTAAAATTTTTTACTTTGTGTATATGTGTACGAGCGTATTGTCTGCACATATGTAAGTGTACCAGTGCCACGCAATGCCCAAAAAGTCAGAAGAGGGCGTCTAATCCCCTGGAACTGGAGTTATGGTTGCTAGCTGCCATGTGGGTGCTGCTCAGGGCCTCTGCAAGAGCAGTCAGTGCTTTTCATCACTGAGCCATCTCTCCAGCCTAAAACCTTTTTAAGTAACTGTTATTCTGCCAATGTCTTTCCTATGGCATGCTATCTAGTCTTCACATTAACCATTCTCACAGAAATTCTCATCTTAAGATGTGGTTCTATCAATCAGAATCAGATACTGTGTGGTATGTGGCAATCTTGCTTCATTTCAAATTTGATGGAAGTCTAAACAAAGCTCCACTCCAAAATAAAACAACCCACAAATGTTCTCCTAGTACACCCTGAGGAATATACAGGTAAGAGAAACACATGAGCATAGAACTAATCAGCCCCAGCTAAGAGATCCATGACAGTATCATGGAGTGCAACTACAACCAATACTGAATGTACTTGACGGATAGTTGAGTGTGATTGCCTGTTAACTTCACATACAATACATTCCCTCATGTTGAGGGAAGGGCTGAGTGCAGTTCATCAGTTGCCAGGCCAGGTGGCACAGGGCATGATTCTATCACTGGGTAGCCTGAGGCAAGATTTCCAGTTCTAGGCCAACCTGCAACAGTCAGGCCATCTCAGTTTTATTAAAAAGATTCAAAGGTTGAAGGAGTAAAGACAAGAAATTTCAAAAGGCTACAGTGAGTAGTAACAAATGAGAAGTGACTATGTACAACTACTGTTCTACCAGTGCATTTTTCAACAGCAGATTTACATTAAGATTGGATTTGAAGCCTGGCCTCAGAGATGGAAGCCAGCCTGGTATACATGATGAGATCCAGGCCTACTGGGGCTACAGAGACCCTGTTTTAAAATGACCGGAAGGAGAAAAATTGGACTGAGTGCATTAAATGACAAATATAAAAATACATACGCCTTTGGAATAGTATGTAAAATGGCTTAATAACTTGGAAGAGTAAGAAGGGCATAGTGGCACAGCCTTTAATCTCACAACTCAAGAGGCTAAGGTAGGCAGATCTGAGTTTTGACACCCGCTTGGTCTACGTAAGTTCCAGTCTAGCCAGGGCTATGTAGTATGACCCTGTCTAAAAACAAACACAAAGCTGGAGTAAGAGCATTTTTTAAGTATAGATGAGATTGGACTCTAGACACTACTTAAAAAGTGTTAGGTGGTGGGGATAGATGGAAGGGTAAGTCAGTGTGATAAAAAGGAGTAGCATCTGTTTCCACCAACAAAATTCAAGAACCTGAGGTAGAGGAAGCTTGAATTACAAGCCTCAACATACTCAACCAGGGAGGACTGCAGAAATTAAGAGAAATTCGGATCCCTTATTGAAAAAGTGTCACCATCCAGGGAGTAAATAATTACGAGCTGGAAAGATGGCTCAGTGGTTGAAGACGACCTGGGTTTGAATCCCTGCACCCACATGGCAGCTAACAACTGCCTATAACTCCAGATCTAGGGGATCCAACCCTTTCTTTTGACAAACTGGTATGGTGGCTCATGCCTGTGAATCCCAGCACTCAGAAGGTACAGGCAGAAGGATCAGGAGTTTAATCAACCCCACCTGGGCTTGCCTGAACACAGGAGTCCCTACATCCACAGGCACTCGGCTTTGTGAATACCTAAGAAAATCCCTTTCTTCTTCCTTCCTGGCTACATCTGGACTAATATTAAATTTTCTTTGATAGGCTCTATTAACACTCCCCCTACTTATTTGTATCAAGATGAAAATATGTCACTAGAAATAAAACTGCAGTTACACCAAGAGAGCTTTTAGGGAGGTCTTGTTTCCAAGTTAACTGAGGGGAGGCATTCGGTCTACGCTGAAATTCGGGCTGCGAGAGCAACCAGACGCTGCTGCAACACGCTTCTTAAGAGATCGAGCTTGACCTCAGGGATCGGGTAGGGCGAGTATCTGCCTTGGCGGCTCCGGCTTCGGCCACCACCCAGCACTCGACGTCGGTCGGTCGGAACAGTGGGTCGCACCGGAGGCCAAAGTCCTGGCTGATTCGGCTCAGGCCTCGTAAGCAGGAAGCTGTCTCTGGACAAAATCGCCCACGCCAAAGCCGACCGGCTGAGGTCCCCGTAGGTGGAGCGGAATGCCACCATGTTGGCTTGATCGCCGGCTGACGACATCGAGTTCGGGGCCATAGCCAAACACCGCCCGTAGTGCCCGCGTGATGTACGTCGGTCAAACTGGGCCTTCGGCAGCTCCACAGATCAGTCCGACCTGCGACCGTTGCCGAACCCGGCCATTTCTAACGCTGCAGTGGAAGCAGCAAACACCGCCGCAACCGGAACCAAGCGCTTCTCCCTGCGCGCACGCGCAGCCCGCCCGCGTTGGACGACGGGAGTTCACGTCGTGACGTCTGAACGAGATGACGTAAGGGCTTCCGCGCGTGCGCAGTAGGCTCAGTCCGCCGCGAGCGTTAGGCCTAGGCCCGGGATCCCCGGTAGCGCTGAGATGGGAGCTGCGGCCGCGGAGGCCGACCGCACTCTGTTTGTGGGCAACCTGGAGACGAAGGTGACAGAGGAGCTCCTCTTCGAGCTGTTCCACCAGGTGAGCGGCGACCTCAGGGCCCAGGGCGGGCCGGGCGCCCACCGAGGCCGCTCCGGAGCGCAGGGCGCTCGGCGGCGACGCGGTAGCTGGCACCTCGCGGCGTTCGGTCCTAAAGTGACTACAGAGGATGGAGCCATCAACATCCTCTTCCTCATCCCCATTCCCGTTAAGGTCTATGGACCCAAGGCGGGGGCTCTGAGCACTGCTGTCTTTCCCGGTCCTCCTCTCCCCGCCTTCCCTTGCATCTGATTTGCCTTTGCTTCCTCTCAATTCCTGTCATGTTTCCGGCTCTCTGTCAGTCTGTATTTCCTCAGCAAACTTACCAGACTTAAAAAAAAAAAAAAAAAAAAAGTCCGTCAATACAACGTAGGAAAGCAACTTTGCGGTGTTAAATGTATTGAAACTATTAAAAAACTTGGACCTATTCTGTCTCTTGGCACTATAACTCCAGTAACTGGTTCCATCTGGTTGATCGAAGGAAAGTTAAGTTTTCAGTCAAAATCACTTTTCCTTTGGTAAACGTTCATTACCATGCGGTGGGAAAATAATGGCTTTTGGTTGCTTTGTGAAAACGTCAGAAGTGAGATGTAAATTCAGTATTGTGTTCTCAGTTCATTAAGGGACTCCTTCCTCAAATGAAATATCGATTTCAATCGTGTAACTGATCTTTTTACTCTGTCAGGACTTTTTTTTTTAGGGTCTGGATGCCATTTCTGTTTTAAAGTTTGTGTTCTGTTCTTTTTGGTTTTCTGAGACAGTCTCATAGCCTTGACTGTTTTTCCAGAACTGCAAGGTTGGCCTTGAATGATCTCCTGCCTACACCTCTTGACTGCAGGGATTACAGGCATGTACAGTCATGCTAGGCTGACATTCTCTTATTTCTGAAATTTGAATGTTTTCCTGAAATTGCCTTATTTAAATTATAAACACTTTTCTTTGTAGGCTGGACCAGTAATAAGTGTGAAAATTCCAAAAGACAAAGAAGGCAAACCAAAGCAGTTTGCGTTTGTGAATTTCAAGCACGAAGTATCTGTTCCTTATGCAATGAATCTGCTCAATGGAATCAAACTTTTTGGGAGGCCCATCAAAATTCAGTTTAGATCAGGTAATGGTTCCAAGATGGTGGTAAGAAGGAGAAGGTTGTTTGTAGCTTTGTTTTTTGCTTTTAATGTTTTATTATTCAATTTTGTATTTTTTTGTTTTAGTTTTTTTTGAGACCGGGCTTCAGGTATACAGGGCTACCATTCAACTCAATATATAAGCCAAGTCGGGCCTTAAACTCCTGATCCTCCCGGTTCTACCTCACAATTGCTGGGACTATAGGCTTGAGCCACCATGCCCAGCTGTTTTAAAAATGTGGTGGGAAGTGATGAAAATTCTTTAAATTTGGCTTTTTTTCCAGGCAACTTTGTTGATATACAGATTGTGGTTTTATTTATTTTTTTCTAGCAGTATGTGAGGACAATACTTTCCACTCAGCCTATAGTGTGGGGATCAGAATACCATGGCCAGATTGGATGTTAATACACTAAGTAGTACCTTTTTTGAGATAGGTTCTTCCTGTAGCCCTAACAGGCCTAGAATGTAAACAATTTGACCAGGCTGGCCTAGAACGTAAACCATTTGACCAGGCTGACCTCGAACTGACAGTGATCTGCTTGCCTCTGCCTCCCGAGTGCTGGGATTAAAGGCATGTGCCACCGTGCCCAGCCTGGAATATTTGGTATTAACATACTTAGGAAACATTCTTATGAAACAGGTAGTCTATACCAATTTAGTATCTTTGCTTTTTTAAAGACTCTTGTTGGGGAGTACATTGGACTGGAGGAGACACTTTGAATTGTTACTGGTTTTTTTTATCCCATTTTAGGAAGTAGTCATGCCTCTCAGGATGCCAGTGTATCACACCCCCAGCATCATGTTGGAAACTCAAGTCCTTCCTCCACGTCTCCTAGCAGGTACTGTCTCTCATTATTAAAGTCATCAGAGAATTTCTGAGGTAATGACCTCAGAATTCCTGAGTGACTAGCTTTCTTCATTGTCTACCACTGTCTGTATCTCTAAGGGTATCTAGGCACGTAGACTGTGTGTAGGTTTTCTTGCAATAAATAATGTATAACTATATTCGTGCATTTGTAAAGACATTCACACTTACATATACATGTATAGAATTGAACCCCCCCAAAATCTCAATTATTTGTCTAACAGTACTTTTTTTTCACATTTCAAATTAATTTTATAACCGTTAATCGGTTGTTTTCTTGCAGTTTAGAAGCACTGATTAGTGAAGTGGCTACTGAACTGAAGCGTAGACCTGCTTCCACCTGCTGTGTGGCCTTCAGCCTCATTGCTCTGGTCCTGTCCTTTATAAGGAAACAAAGTGGAATTAAAGTCCTCATAGCTACTTAAGGCTAGAAATGGGACCTTATTTGTCTAAATAAATGTTTGCTTTCAGTGTCGGTATTTTACCAGGGGCACTTTTTATTGTTGTTTATTCTGTAGAGCAGTATGTTCAATCATAACATACTGTGTCAAGTTCCTCACCAAGCCTTTTGTGTGTAAGATCTCATTTATTCCGATCTCATTTATTCCTCAGCAATCCTACAAAGTAGGGATTATTTATCCCTTTTAGGTGTAGAAAGTGTGGACTGGAGGTGAACTTTTGTAAGCAGTGTGTGTGGTTCAGACTTCAGCAGCTGGTTGAGCCCCACAGTTAGGATACACTGCCAAGTGGAACTTCAAGTCTATGTGAAGACAAGTTACATTTTGTGACTACTTGTTTAATCACTGTAATTAGTTTTCTAGATGAGTAGAAAGTGCTTTGAGAGACTCTTCACAGCAGATGATGTAGATGAAAGAGGAACTGAAAGAAGTTGGTACATAGAGAACATTGGTGTTTGGTGAAATAGATAAGGGCTGAGTGAGGTTGTATAGGCTTCTAATCAAGGTTTGGGGGATATTATCCTAAAGGATATGAAAGCACTGAAATGTTACAAGTAGGAAACAGTAAGACTTCTCAGTCTGAACAATTACATTACGCTTAGATGGATCAGATGGGAAAGGGGGAAAAGAGGAGAAGGCTGGTTTGGAAGCTATTGGTAGCGACCTGCAGGGCTGTTGGAGTGAGGTTGGTGGTTGGATTAAGGCAGTACCAAAGCTGGAGAATTGGTTGGCTTTGAAGAGATACTGGAAGGTGAGATTTTTTAAGAAGCAATAATAAAAAAAGCGTGTCTCTCCTTTTGTCTGTTTTTACCAACTGAAATTAATTAGCATTGTTTAAACACATCTGAGTTGGAACTCAGCATCTTCAGCCATTTTCATGTAACATTCAAAGGTATCCTAGGTGGAACAGAAAGTTTTCTCCTTAGAATTTCTTGGGGGTGGGTGTTGGGGGGAGCATACTAGTGAGTAGTTTTAATCAAAGGCTAGGGGGTATCATTTTTATATTCTTCATAGCATAAGAGAAACTACTTTTCACCCCTCCTAGCATTTAGGCATGTACTCCAGTCTAAGACCTCCTCCCCCCTAAAAAGTAAAATAGAACCCTCCATCTTTCTTACCTCCATTGGAACTTTAATTGCATGCTAAGATGACAAATGAGTTGGTTATTTGTCCTCCAAGCCTCTGCTCTTTCAGATCTCAGTAATAGCTGCCTAACTGCACAAGTCAAAAAAATGCAAAATTTACAGTGTCTTGCTTCTCATTCCCTGATTTATATCCAGGTTATAAAATCCTTTCTATTTTACTTCTCAGTCTGAATAATGACATTATGCTTAGAGACTGACATTTTTTTTTCTATGAAAGTTCAAATAGTTAATATTGCAGTATTTGCTGTTCATGTTGTCTTTGTCTCTGTCATAGCAGTAAGGTAGGCATACGTAATACAAACGTGAAAAAAACATTGCTATGTTCTGATAAAACTTCACGTTACAAAACTAAATTTGGCCCATAGACTACATAGTCTGTTCACCCTGCACCAGTCTGGGTTACTTGTCCAGGTAGCCTATTGCTCACCTTTCATTTTAAATGTCTTTTTCAGAAAGTCTATTCCTGATTAGCTGACCTAAGATAGAACACCTTACTGTTCCTCTGGATCTGTCAGCCATACATCACATGTGAACTTATCTTAATCATTTTCATCACTGAGAACTGTGTCCTGCTTCTAATTGGCATTTAGTATTCGTTGAATGAGTGGTTTTTACTGGATTCTTTATTTCTAGCAGATACGAAAGGACTGTGGACAACATGACTCCATCATCACAGACGGTTCAGAGATCATTTTCCACTCCAGAAAATTACCAGAGACAAGCAATGGTAGGCTGTGGTGTTTTTGTTGTGGGGTTTCGGGTTCTTGTTTTTCCAATTTTAGTTGCTTTTGGTTAAAATATTCATATTATATCAGATAACTTTTTATTAATTAATTTTTCTTAGTTTTATTTCTTATGTTCTTAAGCACAAATTTATAACTTTTTTGTTTCTTTATCTTGAGACAGGGTCTCACTGATTGTAGCTCAATCTAGCCTTAAACTAAGATCCTCCTGCCTCTGCCTCCTGAGTGCTATGAATACAGGTGTGTACCACCACAAGTGGCCTTCTGTCTCATAATTGCATTAGACTAGCATGATCTTTATGGAGTTACACTCGTGTCTTCTAGACCAGCTCTCTTAGACTTGGCCAAAAATCAGATTGGCTGTTGTTCCATTTTTGTCTCCACTCGTTTTCCAGGCCCTTTCATTTTCTTCTTGCCCAAATCAGTTTTGGTGTGGTATCCTTGGGCTCCTGTGTTTTGTAGATCTGCAAAATATTCTGTCTGGAAGCAGACTGTGTCCAGGGCCAAGTTGGTTGTCATAGCTTTGTTTTCCCTTCACTGCTCATCTTGTGCACCATTTCCAAACTAATTTTATGACTCTTGTTTTGCTTATCTTTCCTATACACTTGACTTTTTTTTAAAAAAATAAGGTAAAACTTCTGTATTTATTTGGCATCCCCATCTTCTGATTCTAGTGAACCCTACTGGCTTATCTTCAACTAACAGCTTCTAAGATACATAGCCCATTTCAGCTAGTATAACTTTTTTCCTTGAACCCAGTCCATGTTTTTGTTTATGCAGTTTCCTTTCTTCGACATATTTCTCCCTTCAAATAGTTTCCTTAAAAGACCCCATTCATTCTTTTAACCCTTAGATCACATACCACCTTTATGAAGTCTTTCCTCATGATACTGAGTGCCTAGTTCTTTGTATGTTTGTTATAGTGATTCATATTCTAGCCATTGTAAGTGATCTCTTCTAGTGGACTCTTGAAGATAAGCGGTGTTTATGTGTAAGAATATGTAGGTTTACATTCAAGGTAAAGAACTGTATGTGACTATTCAGTTATGTTTAACTTAGGATGTATCTAGGCAAGGATGCATTTGATTTTCCTTTAGTATCTGTGGTTAACTGTGATTAAATACATACTGACTTTGAGATCTCAAAGTCCTTACAGCTAACATTTCTCTCTTTTGTCTTTCTTCAGATGAACAGTGTTTTGAGACAGATGTCATATGGTGGGAAATTTGGTTCTCTACATGTGGATCAGTTGGGATTTTCACCATCAGTTCAAACACACAATCAAAATTATAACCAGTCTTCCAGCTCTCAGTGGCGCCAAGATACACCAGCCTCACAGCGTAAAGTCAGACAGAATTCTCATCCCTACCTTGCGGACAGACACTATAGCTGGGAGCAGCGTTACTCTGATCATGGGTCTGACTACCATTACAGAGGAGGCAGAGATGATTTCTTCTATGAAGACAGGAATCATGATGGCTGGAACCATGACTATGATAACAGAAGAGACAGCAGTAGAGATGGAAAGTGGCATCCATCTCGACACTAACCCCCATTTCAAGGACATTGTCTCCCAGGCCCATTTTAGGCCTTTTGACTAAGTTGGCTGGAAATATTTTTTAAAACTATACAGAGTAGCTTCACAATTTTCTACCTTTCTTTGAAAAAAATTTATAAGACCTATAGCAGCTGTTTCATACAGAAATGAAAAGAATTGTGGTTCCGGATATATTACATTAATGGCCTTTTACCTAAGGGTTTATGAAGAGGAAAGGGTTTTATGCAAAAGAAAGTGCCACAATTCTGAATCATTTCAGACTGTTTAGGAAAGATGAATTGTATAGATTGTATTATAAAGCAAGTATTTTAATTATCTCCGATCCTTTTGTATTGCAAGGAATTTCTCATTAATGAATCATTTTGGTGTGTATAGTAGAAAACATGCAAGTAGTCCGAAATGGCTGTCTGCATTTTGTTAATAAATGAGAAAATATAACTTCTCAGTGATCCAGGTTCACATTTTATTTGAGAAAGCTTATGGGTTATATTTGGGGATAAATCATATTGCCTGACTCAAGAGAATTGAATTAGAATTCCATGATACGCTCTTTTGAATTTTACCACAATTGAACACAGTTCTATACTATTTGATTCTAAACACTAGAATTCTTTCACTAAATCACATTCGATGTGTGGTGGCTGGTCACTCAGGAAGTTAAATATCTCTACATGTATATTTTTACATTCAAATGACAGTATTACTGAAAACTCTTTTTAGAGGAACGATGATGTCAGACAAAATGTTAGAATGTTTTACTACAAATACTCTTAAAAGATTCATGAGCCTTCATGTGCTGCCTCTGTCACTCAAATTCTAGAAATGTAGCATTTTCAGTGCCAGGACATGTGCACAAGAACACATTTTATAATGGATATTGTGCTTTTTTGTGTATGAACATTGGGAAGAATTTAATGTTAACATTTTATAATTTTAAAATCTTGTTTAACAGGACTTTAATGTATTACCAAGATACTGTTTTTCATTGCAAAATTGTTTATAAACATTCTTGAAAACTTTGGATCTTTTTTTAGTACCACAGCATTTAAACTGTGTTCCTTTTTAATATATTAAATATATAAAAAAGGAGAATGTGTCTTTTTTGGGCATCACTAACCTCAGAGGTAATTATATTCACTAATTCAGCAACATGCTCATGTTGATTCGTACTTTTACTGGTGGTAAGATTGTCCACCTGATATCTTTTGTAGATTTGCAGCTTGATGTGGAGATAGTCATTGACCTGTGGCTTCGTTTGGAGCACTGTGCCTGGTCTCTAGTTCACACTCATATTTTGTTTCTAAATGACCAGTTCTGTGTCTTAATAAAGCTGTGCACCCACTTGGCATAGAGATAAGATTTTTAAAAAGACTTTGTTTCCTTTAAGCAGTTTCATAGTGTTTATTTCCAATAAGCCTGTTATTTCTTGGTGTCCATATGGAAACTAGGTAGATCTGTAGAGACAAAGATAAATACTATTTTATTGCAGTTTATCTACTTTGGACCAGCTCAACGTTGGTTCATGGGTGATCAGAATAGTCTTAATGTTTTTTTTTTTTTGGGGGGGGGGTCAACCTTTAGTGAAGTTCTAGTGACATTCTTCTTTTTTGCCCAGGTAAACCAATGAAACTAAGTATCTGTACTTTGTAAACAGAAAGGTAGCCTCTGAAAATTCAATATAGATCAACAGGAGTAGAAAGTTTCTCCAGGAATACTCCATGAGATTATAGTTTTTTTTTATAAAAAAAAAAATCAGGGGCTGGAGAGATGGCTCAGTGGTTAAGAACACTGGTCTTGCAGAAGACCCGGGTTCAAATCCCAGCACCCACATGGCAGCTAACAACTGTCCTTAACTCTAGTCCCAGGGGACCCGACAGCCTCTTCAGACCTCTGCTGGCACTGCATGACATGGGTGTACTTACCGACATGCAGGCAATACACGAATACACATAAAAGTAACAATTAAAATATTTTAAAAAAATTCAATTTTATTGTGTCATAGGTGGGTACATGTATGCTGTGGCACATGTAGAGGTCAGAGGACAACTTTGAGGAGCTGGTTCTCTCCACTGTAGGTTCCAAGCTAGAATTCCAGTTGTCAGGCTTGCATGGCAAGGGCCTTTATCTGCTGAGCTGAATTGCTGGCCAATAGTGGTCAGATGTTTTGTAGAGTTAAGGGTTGTATAGCCAGGGGCTGGAGAGGGCTTGGGTTAAGAGCAATGGCTGCTCTTGCAGAGGACCCAGGTTTGGTTCCAAGCACCTACATGGCACCTAACAGCTGTCCATAACTCCAGTTCTATGGGGTCTGGTGCTGTCTCGTGGCCTCCATGGTGTTGCAAGACAGGATGCACTTACATACCTATAGACAAAACCCTCAAACTAAGTATTTTTAAAAGAATTAGTAAAAGATTGTTTGCTGTTCTTTCAGACAGCTGGAGTTACCTCAATGAATGGGGCCCACAATTGCCTGTGACTCCAGCTCCAGAGGATCCAATGCCCTCTTGGCTTCCATCGGTACCTGTACTTGTGGCATACATTCCCCCCCACACATATATAAGGTAAAAACATCTTTTTAAAGAAGACCCCTCGAGAATCCTTGCCCCCTCCTCTCTGCATTCTCTGCAATGTCATACCACATTCCACTCAATGTTCTTTGCTTATTTTCTGGTTTTCCCCATACTAATAAGCAACCATCCACAGGGTTACTCAAACAGTGCCCTGTGTTTTGAGCCTCTGGTCTTTAAATTTATTTCACACACTGAGTTGAGAATGTAAATCATGTTACTTGTAAATAACTTCAGTAGCCTCAGGCTTAGACTATTTTTTTTTTTTTTTTTTTTGGTCTTTTTGAAACAGGGTCTCCTTGTAGCCCCAGCTGTCCTGGAATTCACTATGTAGACCAGGCTGGGCTCAAACTCAACTCACAAAGATCCACCTGCCTCTGCCTCCCAAGTGCTGGGATTAAAGGCATACGCCACCACGCCCGGCACTCTTATTTTAAAGATAAAGTTCTTAATTAAAAAAAAAATTGTTTTAAGACCTGTCAAGTCTATTTTGTGTCTGTAAATGCCCTTTGGTGTGGGCCAGCCACTGGAGCCTGGTTAACCTATCCAGCATCACACCCTTAAAATCAACTCTCCCTCTGCCAACAGCTATCAGTTGCCAATAGTTCTTCAGCTATGGTTAGGGCTTCTTACGTACTTCCCTACGTCTGTGCTGGGATTTTGTTTGACTTGAGGTTACATAGGTCTTGTGCATGCTCTCACAGTTGCCGTGAGTTCATATGAAGAGCTCCCTTGCTGTCTGGAAAAACACTGTCTTCTGGTCATCTACCATCTCTGACTCTTAGGATCTTTCTGCCCCATTTTTCACAATGATCCCTGAGCCTTGGGAGGCAGAAGTTTGATGTAAATGTCCTATGCAGGGATAAGCATTCTTATTCTCTGCACATTGACCAGTTGTGGGTCTCTGTTTAATGACTATCTGCTGCATGAAGAAAATTGTCTGGTGAGAGTTGAGAGATGCATTAATCTATAGGTATAGAAATAAGCCATTCAGAGTTGGTTTAATACTATGTCCATTTAGCAGAATAATAATAGATTCTCTCCTATGGCCTGTGACCTGTCTAACCACAGGTTTGTAGACCTGGTATTAGTGTCAAGTATGGGCTCCATCTTGTGAAGTGAACCTTGAATCTAATCAGAAAGTAATTGGTTACTCATATAACATTTGTGCCACTATTGCACCATTGGGCAAATCTTGCCAGGCCCTTCCTAATTTTTTTTAAATATTTTATTAATTATTATTATTTTTTATGTGTATGTGTGTATTGCCTGCATGTAGGTAAGTGCACCCATGTCATGCAATGCCCACGGAGGACAAAAGAGGCTGTCGGATCCCCTGGAACTGGAGTTACAGATAGTTGTTAGCTGCCATGTGGGTGCTGGGATTCGAACCCAGGTCTTCTGCAAGAACAGTGAGTGTACTTAACTGCTGAGCCATCTCTCCAGCCCCTAGCCCATTCTAATTCTTGGGAAACTTCTCTCCTCAGCCTTGGACTGTGTCCTCAAATCAGCACTTTCATGAACAGTGGAGGAAGCTGTTTGTTTCTAGGAGTGCCCTTTCTATGCAGCTTGTATCTCCTCAGTTTCGAGTCTAGGGCATTCTGTTTGGTTTTCCTGGATTCTAGCTGTGTCTCCTTAACACAGGAAACTTCCAGACTCTGCCTGATCTATCCCCAATCCTTCTATATTGTAACATAAAAATCCCTTCATGGAGGCAAGCTAAGACACTTGTAGGGCTCACCCCATTTATTTCCTGTTTCCCAGGAATCACCCCTTTGTTTTGGCACGTTCTAGAACCTCAGAACTCCTTTTTAAAAAGAATTTTAAAACTTGAGAATTTATCCTAAAATCTCAGGGATGGGGGAGAGGTATTAGTGCCAGTACTTTTAAAAATAATCTAACATGCAGCCAGGGATGAGAGCGCTAATACTCTTTTAATTCCTGTAATATTCCTCTTTTAATTCCCAATGTGTATTTTTAAATTGATGAACTGTATCTGTTAAGATAAAAACAGGATAGCAAAACTGAGAGTGATGTAGAAGAAGAGGTTTATTACAGGGATACAGCCTTAGGTGATTCTGATTGCTGGTGGAGTCATCTGCTGGCCTGCATCTGGTGTTAAGTCAGCCAGACCATCCATTTAGAAACAAAGTCAAAGAACAGCAGAACTGAGCAGAAACTAGAAAAGTCTAAAAAATAAGGAGCTTATATCTATCTCTCATTATTCTTAGCTACAGAACTGCACAGCTCTTTGCCCCAGGACTCAGGAAAGGCAGAGATGGGACCAATGCTAGACAATCTAAGGACAGAGTGCCCATACCAATCAGCAAGCAATGAGCATGAGGTGCCACGATTCCTAATGTTCTTCTCGCTCCCAGAGTCTAAAAGGTATGACTGCTACTTCCCCTGAATTTTAGTTCCCTTTCTTGTAGCTGTAACAAAATAACCTGACAGAAACAACTTACCAGAGGAGGGCTTATTCTGGCTTAGATTCCAGGGAATTTTTAGTCAATGTGGAGAGGCATGGCAGAATGGCTCCACAGTGGCAGGAGCATATGGCAGCTGCTTGTTCATATCATGACTATGGACCAAGAAGTAGAGAATGCATCAGGAAGGAGCCCTGGATAATATACTCCCAAGGACATGCCTCCTTCCCAGTGGCCTACTGCCCCCAACTAGTCCCTATCTTCTGAAGGTTGATAGTTTCTCAAAACAGTGACAGTGGCTGGGGACCAAGTGTCCAAATACATGAGTCGGGGGGGGGGGGATTTTATATTCAAACTATAACATTTTGTTGTTACAGGAATATTGGAGTGTCTTTGAGAATGATGGAGCCTTTCTCAGGGAGCCCCAGAAACTCAACAGCTACCAAAACTTCCCCAAGCCAGCGACTTGGGAAGTGTTTTGCCTTCATGTATGTTAAGAGCACCCATGTCATCCAGTGCCTGTGGAGGCTAGAAGAGGGCATTGGATCCCCTAGAACTGGAGTCATAGATGGCTGTTAGCCACCATGTGAGTGCTAGGAACCAAACCCAGGTCCCACTGAGAGTGAGTTTTAGAGAGAAGTTTT